CATTGCTTCGTAGTAGAAGAGTCCGGGTGCTGGATTGACCTGCCTGCAGTCCAGATCTTTCACCCATAGACAACATTTGGTGCATCCTTAAACGAAACGAAAAATACATCAAAGATGACCACAAACTCTTCAGCAGCTGGAAACCTATATCAGGCAAGAATGGGACCAAATTCCAACACCAAAACTCCAGAAACTCATAACCTCGATGCCCAGACGTCTTCAAAGTGTTTTGAAAGGAAGAGGAGATGCTACACCATGGTAAACATGGCCCCATCGCAACTATTTTGAGATCTGTAGCAGGCATCAAATTTTAAAGGGGTCATATAATGCGATTTCAAGTTTTCCTTTCTCTTTGGAGTGTTACAAGCTCTTGGTGCATATAGAAGATCTGTAAAGTTGCAAAGACTAAAGTCTCAAATCCAAAGAGATATTCTTTATAAAAGTTAAGAGTCAGCCACGCCCTCCTAAAACGACTCATTCTAACACGCCCCGCTCCCTAACACGATGCAGCCATGTCAGGGAGACGCTGTGTATTTCAGTGCGAAAGCAAAAGCACTTTATTTGGCCTTCCGGAAGTAGACCCCCCACCCCTTCAACCGCTGCAGCAATGCTGGCAGCACTCATATGTCTATTTCCCAAACACAACCTCTGGATGTGACGCTGAGCACGTGCACTCAACTTCTTTGGTCGACCATGGCGAGGCCTGTTCTGAGTGGAACCTGTCCTGTTAAACCGCTGTATGGTCTTGGCCACCGTGCTGCAGCTCAGTTTCAGGGTCTTGGCAATCTTCTTATAGCCTACGCCATCTTTATGTAGAGCAACAATTCTTTTTTTCAGATCCTCAGAGAGTTCTTTGCCATGAGGTGCCATGTTGAACTTCCAGTGACCAGTATGAGAGAGTGAGAGCGATAACACCAAATTTAACACACCTGCTCCCCATTCACACCCGAGACCTTGTAACACTAATGAGTCACATGACACCGGGGAGAGAAAATGGCCAATTGGGCCCAATTTGGACATTTTCACTTAGGGGTGTACTCACTTTTGTGGCCAGTGGTTTAGACATTAAAGGCTGTGTGTTGAGTTATTTTGAGGGGACAGCAAATTTACACTGTTATACAAGCTGTACACTCACTACTTTACATTGTAGCAAAGTGTCATTTCTTTAGTGTTGTCACATGAAAAGATATAATAAAATATTTACAAAAATGTGAGGGGTGTACTCACTTCTGTCAGATACTGTACATACAGGTGCATCTCAAAAAATTTGAATATTGTGAAAAAGTTCATTTTTTTGATAACATTTCAAAAAGTGAAACGTTCACATTCTAGATTCATTACATGTAAAGTAAAACATTTCAAACGTTTTTTTTTTGTTTTAATTTTGATGATTAGAGCTTACAGCTCATGAAAGTCAAAAATCCAGTATCTCAAAATATTAGAATATTTCCAATCAAAAAAAGGATTTGCAAAACAGAAAAGTTCAACTTATGTAAAGTTATGTTTAAAAGTATGTTAATTTATGCACTCAGTACTTGGTCTGGGCTCCTTTAGCACAAACTCCAGCATCAGTGAGGTTTGGCATTGAAGCGATCAGCCTGTGGCGCTGCTGAGGCACTATTGAGCCTTCAACTCGTCTGTATTGTTGGCACTATTGAGCCTTCAGCTCGTCTGGATTGTTGGATCGACTGTTTCTCATCTTTCTCTTGGGTTCAGGTCAGGCATGTTGGCTGACCAATCAAGCACAGTAATATCATGGTCAGCAAACCACTTGGAAGTGGTTTTGGCATTGTGGGCAGGTGCTAAAGTTCTGCTGGAAAAGAAAATCAGCATCTCCATGAAGCTTGTCAGCACACCAGCAGATGTCACGGCACCCCAAATCATCACTGACTTCAGAAACTTCACACTGGACTTAAAGCAGCTTAGATTCTGTGCCTCTCCAGTCTTCCCCCAGACTCCACACCTTGATTTCCAAATGAAATGCAAAATTGACCTTTATCTGAAATGAGGACTTTGGACCACTGACAGAACAGTCCAGTTCTTTTTCTCATTAGCCCAGGTAAGATGCTTCTGACGTTGTTTCTGTTTCAGAAGTGGCTTGGTAGCCCTTTTCCTGAAGACGTCTGAGCGTGGTGACTCTTGATGCACTGACTCCACTGAAGTCAGCAGTCTTCCGCATTATTGTGGTTTCAAAGAACAAGAGATACCCAGAATTTATACTGTAGGGATGGTCATTTAATGAAACTCAAATGTAAATATTCTAATATTTTGAGATACTGGATTTTTGACTTTAATGAGCTATAAGCTCTAATCATCAAAATTAAAACAAAAACTTTTGAAATGTTTTACTTTACATGTAATGAGTCTAAAATATATGAAAGTTAACTTTTTGAAATAAGTTTCAAGAAAAAAATTTACTTTTTCACGATACAACTTAACCACTGATTTCTAGTCGTGTCCTCTTTTGGAAGGCCAAACAAAGTAGTTTCGCTTTCACAACGAAACAGCGTCACACACAGTGAGCCGCGGCCTAGAGTATGCGGAGGTCGGCTTGAGTGAGTGGGGGCGTGTTAGAACGAGCCGTTTTAGGTAGGCGTGGTTGACTCTTAACTTTTATAAAGAATATCTCTTTTGGATTTGAGATTTTAGTCTTTGCAACTTTACAGATGTAATTTATGCACCAAGAGCTTGTAACACTCCAAAGCGAAAGGACAAATTGAAATTGCATCATATGACCCCTTTAATGTGTTTTCTTTTCAGAAATTAGCCAACCTTCAATGCCAGCTACAAGATAGTTTGAAGATGAAATGTCACATGGCGCGCGTTGCGTTCTGGGAAACAGTATCCCATGCAGTGTCTTCAGATGCATACATCACATTTCAGCAAATGTAGCAGGTAATCCAGGCATTCCATGCATACAGAAAATTCACATACTATTCACGGTATACACATAGCATATTGCAATATAGTAGGAGTTGTATGGTAGTATGCAATTCCAAACACAGCTTCTGTACTGATTTCAGTGTACTTGAGTTATATTTAGCAGATTCTGGCAAATATAGTAGGTCATCCGGCTATTCCGTGCATACAGAAAATTTGCATACTATGCACAGAATACATACTGGATACTGAAGAAATAGTAAGAGTTGTATGATAGTATGGCATTTCGAACACAGCCCCAGTTACGTCGCCACAACGTAACTTTGTGACGTTAGCAGTAACTGCAACGTCGTGGATCAATAGTTGTGTGCTGGTTATCAGTTGGCAATTTTTTATAATAATTTATTTTCTGTGGGCGGACATGCAGTAGTTTAACCTAATTTATGTCCTCATATGCCCAAACTATTATAAAGGCTGTTTCAACAGCTGTGAATGATGAATACAGACTCGAAATTAATTCAGTTAATTTATTTTGAAAACCGCACAAATATGAACAGTAAAATACACCCAAATTATTAATAAAAACATAAGATGCAAAATATGAATGAAAGCATTCAAGACATTCTATGCTCAGCATCAATATAAACAGCTATGGTATCAGGGCTGTACAGTGCGACATATATGTCACACGTGCTACGAAAAAACTGGTCTGTGCGATGAATAAATTTACCACTGTTAGCACGCGTGCGATACAGTTTTGCATGTTCATAACACAGCCGCTTAATAGTGTGCTTAATAGTGAGTTCGTTGTGCTTGTTTGTGTGTGTGAGATTGATTATACTTGGTAGTTAGGGGTGTGCGATATGACGATTTTTGATCGTGGACTATTAAAATGTCTCCACGATCTGCTTTTGAAGAAATATCGTTGTTTCGTGCTACAGCGCACATTCTATCGGCTACAGTTCTGGCGCCTCCCTCTGTCTCAATATAATGTTCAAAGCCACATGCATTCACATCAGTGTTAGCTCAGCGGTAGTTACTCTCACGGGACACTGCACTTATGCGCAATCACAAAACTACATTATTTCATCAGCTTTAAAGCAATACCGGTTAAACATTTAATTCACGTGCTGTTCTGCATGCGCTTTTTCTGAGCGCGTACTCCTGAAGCGCCACTGAGAGCCTGTCAAAAAGCGCCTGATTATTGGACTAAGTTGTCTTTCGCGTCTGATTGATTTCGCGTCTAATACTGTCAAAATTTCCGAGAGGTAAACTAATGTGTTAAAATGCCAAAAACTGCTGTAATTTGCTCAACTTTCTGGCGAGTGTGCTTGAGAAGCACTGAAATGAATGGGCTTCAATAGGTTGTTTGGAACTATTGGCTGCTCCATGACACGCTTTACTTCCGCATTCCTCAGTTCCTATGGAAGCCTATGGGAGTGTCGCAACTCTGTTTCTCAACGGCTCTGATAGCCTACATACAAACAATGATATTAAAAAGAGTTTTAGCGTCTTTCCAGAGTTCAAGAACTTTGTTTTATACATTTTATCAACCTATTTATTTATTATAAATTGCAGGACTCACCTCAGAAAAGCTAATTCTTCTGTCAGACTCAAAGTAAAAAAGTGCCTCAGACACTAATTTTATCTTAAAGGAACTTTCAGCCTTGTGTCTGAAGTTTAATTACACTTTTTAAATAGCGTTCTGGTAATCAGAAAGCATATAAAGTACATGTAAATGATGGTAATGAAATTACGAGCATACGACATTGCAGTTATGTTGCCAGTAAGTCATTAGGTTACCAGTAGTAACATACATCTTTGGATGCTTCTCCTTAAGTCATTTTGCAATGACTGGAGCCTTTAGCCAGGAGGTTGTGTCATCAGATGGTTACCAACGATCCTGAAGTGTTTCGACTCAACCATAACACTCTCCTGTTGGCGGGTCAGCAGTGGTGGCCAGCCACTACTCACTCCCTCCTGGCTGCCAGCTCAACTCCTCCCTCCTGCTCCAAATCCAACAAGAGGCTCTCTCTGCTGCCTCCCCCAGTCTTCGCACTGCCTTCTTTCTCTCAGCCCCCCTCAGTCCAACGTCTGTCATCAGCTTCCAGGCTGACTGGGCTGGGAAGCCCCTGCATCCCACCTCGACTGGGTACAACCATGTCTGCCAGCCTTTGTCCCTGCAGTCCTGCACCAGGTTTTCATAGCGTTTAGACTTCCTTTCAAATGCCTCCTCCCACCCCTCTTCCCACGGCACTGTAAGCTCCACTAGGATGATCTTCTTTCCTTCTGTGGGGAAAAGGACTGCATCGGGTCTTAAGGTAGTATGGACGACATCTGGGAACTGAAGCCTTATCTTCAAGTCTACCCTAAGCTCCCATGCTTGGGCAGACTGCAGGAGGCTAACCCTGGATTTATTGGGCCCTGGTGGCTTTGTCCCCTCCTTGACAAATGTTATACCAGATGGCAGCTTGCTCTTATGTTGCCATTTCCTGGTCCTCTCCTGCTCTAGGATGTCAGCTAGCACAGTCAGTACTTTGTCATGGCGCCATCTGTATCTGCCCTGGGCAAGCGCGGTCTTATATCCTGACAAGATGTGTGCCATCGTTCCCTTTTGCCCGCAGAGCTTGCATATTGGGTCGTCCCTCGTCCCTCATCCCCCATCTGTGTAGATTCACAGGGGTTGGAAGGGTGTCATAGACGGCCCTAAGCAAGCAGGAGATCCAATATGGCTGGAGCCTCCAAAGGTCAGCCCATGTCACCTTCCTCTTGGGAAGATCCCACCTTGTCCAGGCTCCCTGGGATCCTAGCCCCGCAACCTTTGCCTTCCTCCGCTCTTCTTCTAGGCCCCTTACTTCAGCCTGGACCATGGCTCTCCTCTCCACAGGATTGGCTTTCTCCCACTCTTGGAAGTGGGTCATTCCCAGGCCTTGCCTTCCCATGCATGGTGCTCCGATGATGTCTTTGAGCTTTAAGGTCCCTTCTGCTAGGGCCAGAGATGCTGAGGCCTCCCACTTTAATCCTGAACTGGTTTTTATACCAGCTTCTCTGACCTTGCTGTCTCTTGAGTCCCGAAAGGTCATGGCCACCCTGCACTTTGCTACTTGGAACTCCTCAACCAGGGAAGAGAGGGGTAGTTGTAATTGCCCAGATCTGATGTACAGCCTGGAGGGATTCCCAGCCACCTTTTGAGGTGTGAGTTGATCTTACGTTCCACTCCTTCCACTGCTGTAAGTGGGACCTCATACACTGTCATCAGCCACATCAGTCTGGGGAGCAGGCCATGTTGATAAAGCCATGCTTTAACCTTCCCTGGGAGTCCTAATTTATCAATTTTCTTCAGCCAACCCTCTGCTTGCTTCTCAGTGCTG